AAGTTCTGAGTTCGATCCCCGGTAGCAAAAAAAAAAAAAAGCCATTGTCATGCTTGTTATAGGATCTCCACAACATCTCTTCCTATGTGCTATCCTAAATTCAAGAGCCTCAAATTATATAAGCCTTCTCTAGCCTTCTAGTTTTCTCCTTTTTATTATCTTCTGCATCTGTTTTTAAACCCTCCCATATCCTTAAGAATGCTGCTGGGCTCCTGAGCAGCCTCCTCTGACAAATTTTATTGGCTGTTGAGATGTCCTAGGAAAAAGTCTGAGTTTTGGAATCAATACTATAAAATGCACTGCCTCTCTACACTCTGAAAGCTCGCCCATAGCTATTACGGCTGGGGAAGGGGCTGGCACACGCCCTTTTGGTGGAGGAAAGAGGCCCTATGCTTTAAGAGACACAGCTGTGAGTTTTTCCATGAATGTGGGTACATTCTCCACTTGCAAAAGCAAACAACTCAACTTTCCCTTCCCCCATCAGTTGTGTCATATGACTGGCCATTTTCTCAAACTTCCCAGTACATCTTCAGGGCCAGTTTAGAGGTAGAAAGTGGCGACTGCCTAAACCTTTTTTTAAAGGAGAGTGAGGGCAGAGAAAGCCTCTCCTGTCCCAGACACAGGTAGGCTGAGATCATGCGCAAAGGGCTCAGCTCCTAGTGAGGTGTCCCAGGCCTGCAGTTGCTGCCAGTAGAAAATAATGCAAAGTAGGCAAGTGACACCGTTTGCATTTCAGGTGATCACTGAGTGACAAGATCTGCCTTTCCAGAACATTCTACATTTTGACGAAAGCAGCACAAATCAGGTTGTCCCGGGCTGGGTCAGAGAAGCACTTCAGAGTTAGAGAAAAGGTAATGAGGTGATGGTGAGACTCAGAATAACCACTAAAGGACTCTCAGAAATACAGATCTATCAATATTTTGTGATAGCTGGGCACAATGGCCTGTAATCCCAGCGCTCTGGGAGGCTGAGGCAGGAAGACTGTGCTTTCAAGCCCAGAATGGAGAACTCAGCAATTTACTGAGGCCCTGTCTCAAAATGAAAATTTAAAAAAGCTGATGATGTAGCTCAGTGCGAAGGTCCTAGATTTAAGTATTTCTCCCAAATTATATGTGGCCTGCTATGTTGATATTGTCCGTATATGTATAGGTTTTATATTTCAGTGCACAATGAAGTTTGATTTAAACCTACATCAAACATGCAATCTAATAAATCAGGGGCTGTGTTTTATGAAAAGAAATAAAATCAAAGTACCTTGAGTTCAAGGAAAACCTCATTCTTGGGAGGAAATATGTTTTCTCATTGCTTCAATTTCTTAATCTACAACACAAATGACCGGGTACATGATAGCATGTTGTAAAACAGGAAAAAAAAATCAAAATTCCAAGGTTAATGTGCATCCAAATCACTTGTTAAAGTGTTGATTTTGATGGAGCAGGTCTGGACCAGAGATGCCACCTACCTAACCAGCTCCTGGGGGGAGGGGCTGATTCCACCCTTCTGGGAACCACGCTGACACAGGTGCAGCAAGGATGCTAACCCTAGGCAGCAGGGCTCTCTAGGCTTGCAATGGCCACTGAGCAAGGCACACCAGGAGAACAAAGGAGAGTGAATGCACTTTAGAGAGGAATCAAATGCCATTGCCAAAATCACTACTGAGAGGGAAAATGCATTCAATTCTTTGATCAGAAATAGGACAGAGCAATGAGGAGGACCTGGGTTGTGTTTTTCAGGTTTCACTGAGTTTCCCCATAATTCACATATGGCTCATTTCTTCTGGTTTATACTCCAGTAGCGAGGGCAGCCAAGAATACTATTAAATCCACCATACTTAAATGTTATGCCCTGGATTCTCTAGAATAGGTGTGAGTTCAAAGACCACCTCCTTGTTCATTTTAGCACCTCATGTGAAGTTTGTGATTCACATTAGTTATGGGGTCCACCCAGCCTTCCTGCTGCAGTGCAGTCCTCACTTGTGGTCATGGACATGGGCTTCTTATCTGCTGTTAAGGGCAGGCTCCTTCCTCCTCAATGCACACCTGCCCTGAGCTTCAAGCTCCTGCCCCTCGATATTCATTCAGATGTCAGGAAAAATGTCACAGTTAGAAACCAAGCCTAAAGTGGTGGGTAGCATCTGTCCACTGGTGTGTACCCCATCACATGGCTCCTGACTTGCAGGGCAAGCCATGAGACCAGGAGGGAAAGAAACACAGTATCATGTGTGCCATGGCCTCCCAGTCATTGCTACACAAATGATTTGTTATGGCCAAGTATGTCTGAAAAATAGGGGATTTACTTTTAGATGTAGAATGTGCCTCAAAAGACTCCTGTGTTTAGGATGGGGCTTTTGGAAGGTGATTGAATTGTAGGGTGCTATACTTATCAGTGTATTGATCCACAAGCTCATAGCTAAATCTCCTGTTAGGAGCTGGGGCCTGATTGGAGGAGGATTACTGGGGATGTAACCTGGAAGAGTACATTCTTGTTCCAGTTCTTTCTCGGCCTCTCTGCTTCCTGGTTGCCATGAGGTGAGCAGCTTTCCTCCACCAGGCTCTTCAACATGCTGTTTCTGCCTTGGAGCCAGCTGACCATGCACTAAACCCTCTGCAACTATGATCCAAAATAAACCTCTCTGACTTTAAACTCTGTAAGTGTCAGGTGTTTTGTTCTATCACAGGAAGGTGACTAAGACACTGGACTTGAAGACTGAACAGTTATGAGCAATGTGGCAAACAGTGAGACATGTTCTGGGTCCCACCTCCTGCCCAAAAAGGAAGCATTCAGAGAACCTTCAGTTCTCAGTCACATGGCATGCAAGAAATGAGGGAGGCCTACTAATAAGGTCCAGTAAGGGAATTGCACAATGACCCACCAGCTAGATAGGATCCTCCACTTATAGTTAAAGATATTAAAAGTCAGAAAGTATAACTTGTTGGTCAGAAGATGAGCCAAGATCACAAAGGTCTGTTTCACACCAGTGCCTGACTAATATCACATTGCCCTCCTGATGTGGAAGTTCTTATTAAACATTTCTAAGCCAAGTGCCATGGCACATGCATATAATCTAAGCACTTGGGGAGACTGAGGCAAGAAGATCACAATTTGGAGTCCTGCCTGGGCAACTTAGCAAGACCCTGTCTCAAAATTTAAAAATTAAAAAGGGCTAGGGGTGTAGTTCAGTGCAAATGCCCTAGATTCAATTGCCAATACTACCAAATAAAAAAGTCTAGTCTGCCCAGAGAGGGGTACACACACAGGTACTTGAGATTGCATAGCGTGGCGG